CTTTTCCTGTTTTCATAGAAATTTTGCTGGGTTTCTGAAGCTGAGAATGATTATTGGTAAAAGCCCCGACATTAAAACAGGAGTTGAACCCATGTAGGCAGAGGGGAAAACAAGCAACCACCACTCTTCCCAGCCTCTGTAAGAGAGGAGGGAGTTGAGATTATTTCAAGGAAATTTCAGATGTAAAGCTGGGCTGGAGCTGTCCCATTCATCAGCTAATCAGGCTATCCTTGGCCATCTGCCAGGACAAGGAGGCCTAGTGGACTCCATGGATGTCAGGCTTGAGCCATATAGGAAGTGAGGCTGAAAGAGACGGTGGGTGTACAGCTGCCATCTGGGGCAGGAACCCATGGTGACCATTACAGAGGGAAGCCAGAGAGTTCATGGTCCTCATGAGGGACTTCCATGGTGAGAGGGTCCCCTAGGGCAGTGAAGGCGAACCTATGACACGCGTGTCAGAGGTGACACGCAAACTCATTTTTTTGGTTGATTTTCTTTGTTAAATGGCATTTAAATATATAAAGTAAATATCAAAAACATAAATCTTTGTTTTACTATGGTTGCAAATATCAAAAAATTTCTATGTGTGACACGGCACCAGAGTTAACTTAGGGTTTTTCAAAATGCTGACACTCTGAGCTCAAAAGGTTCGCCATCACTGCCCGAGGGGGTCTCGAAGGCACCAAAGGATCCAATGAGAGGCTGGTGTTGGATGGCTGCTGTGAAGAACAGCTTGACCACCACAATAGCACCAGGTCACGGGCCTCTTTTCCTGGTGTTCCTTTTTAAAACAAATTTGATATGCTGTATTTTAATTGTAGTTGAGTTCAAACTTAGTTCCTTGTTTCTCTTGAGACTTTGTCTATGATCCATGGATTATTTAGAAACAGGTTGCTTAATTCCTGGGTTCTGGTGATTTTTAAATTACATTGCTGTTACTGATTTCTAGTTAAATTCCATTATGATCTGAGTACATATGTTATAAAGTTTTAATTTGTTCATGTTTATTAAAGTCTGTTGTATGATCCATGATATGATATATCTTCAAGTTAAGTTCTATGTAGTACTTACAATTAATGTGTACTCTGCTGTTTTAAGGTGGCATTTATGGTCTATAAATGTCAGAGAAATTACATATAAACACAATGCAAGCGTGATCTAAATGCCAATTAACTTTTTGGGAACAGGATAAAATAACTTTACTGTTCAATAGAACAATAAAAGATACCCAGTGTGGGAAACTGATGTAGGGTTGAGCCTCGGGCTGAGCTGCTGGCAAAGTCACAAACAAGTCCCAGCTTAGAGGGCTCAGTCCTCTTAGCATAATTAGGCTTGACCTTATAACACTCCCAGATCTTTACCTGGGAAGCTAACGGGCTGAGGGAAGTGCAGGGAGTGTAAACATGGTCAAAACAGGTGAAACTCACAAGAACTGTCACTATGGTAACCACTGCATTGTTTACCTCAGACTATAAAAGGTCGGTGTGGACTGAGCACGGGTGGAAGTCCTTCCTCTTGAGTTGGACTTACCTGCCTGGTCCCCCAATATTTCCAAATTATCTCTTGTCTTTCCTATTTCATTTGTGTGCGGCTCCTCTTCCAGATGTTGAACCCTGAACCACGCGGGACGTGGAGGGGAACATTTATGACATCTGGCGCCCGAGGGGGACTCTGGAAGTGAATGTTTCGCTAGAGCGAAAAAACAAAGTTTCACTGGCAAAGTGAGGAACAAAGAATTCACCGTAAAGGTAGGAAAAGTCACCGTAAAGGTGAGGGGTTATTTCACCGCACAGAAATGGCCACAATCAGCTACAGTAGTCCGGAGCTGTAGGCGGTGTGGGAACGTTTTCTCAACCAGGCTAACCGGGCAGGATTCGGCTTAAAAAAAAAAAAAAATATTCGGCTTTAAAAAGTAAGAAGGTACATTTGATCTTGAAAGTTTGCCAAAAAGTAAGTCAGAACTTGAAAAAAGTTCAGCAAGCAGGGAAAAACTTATCTTAAAAAACAAAAAACAAAACTGTTTTTCCATGGGGAACACAATATTGCGTTTGCTAGAGCCTTTTAGAGAGGCTGAGAAGGAGCCTCCTCGCCTGGTTCCCTCCGCTCCTCCTAGAGGGGAGCAGGAAGAAAAGTTGGAGGAATGGCCTTCGTGGCGCCCTCCACCTCCATGTCCTAATTCTGAAATGATTAACTCGCCATTAATGGAATCACCTATGCAAAAAGCCATCAGAGAAGGATTGAAGGACATGCTGGCGGAAGAAAGGTTTGCATTTCCTGTCATACAGGTAGCTGACCCACAGCTCCTGAATCAGAAAACAAGACACCATGAAAAAATTGACTTTAAAATGATAAAGGCCTTACGTGAACGTGTAGTTCAAAATGGTCCAACCGCTCCTTTTACAGGAGAAATTATGAATAATATTTCTGAAGCATTCTTAATTCCTTATGATTGGTACCCTCTAGCTCGTGCAACTCTGGATGGAGGAGATTATTTACTATGGAAGGGAGAATTTTTGGAGAAATGCCAGGAGCCCATACAAACCGTGGACTGAATGCTCAAATAACTTATGAAATGCTAGCAGGACTGGGACATTATAATGACATGCAAACCCAGTGAAAGTATTTGCAACTGGCATATGAGCAAAGTAGAGTTTGTGGAAGGAAAGCTTGGTGGGCTTTACCAGCAAAAGGGGACTCTGAGGGAGCTTTTAGTAAGTGCATGCAGGGGCCTTTAGAATCATTTTCTGATTTTGTGGCTCGACTCACTCGAGCAGTGAGACGACAGATTCAACATGAGACAGCAGGAGATATTTTAATTCAGCAATTAGCTTATGAAAACGCCCATGAGGATTGTAAGAAATGCCTGATGCCTCTGAGAAAAGGTAGTACCATTACAGAAATGATTCGAGCATGTCAGAATGTGGGGTCAGGCACTTTTCTAGCAAATGTACTCGCCGCCGCTGTAACCGTAAAGAATAATAAGTGTTATAACTGTGGGAAAACAGGACAGTTTAGAAAAGAATGGGGGCAATTAAGAAGGACACCAAGGTGGCTCTCTAGGGAAAGGCGCGAACATCCCGCCCCTTGAGCCGATCAACACAAATCCAACCTCTCGGTGTCCTAGGTGCCAGAAGGGCTACCATTGGGCCAGCCATTGTAAATCAAGATTCCATAAAAATAGGCAGCCGTTAGATCAAAACACAGGGTATGGCCAACCACAGGGAAACGGCCACCCCCAGCCCTGTCATCAATAGGGGAGATCCGCCCTGCAAAGCCCACAGTGGACTCTGTGATTCGGGCCCCTCCAGGGAGCGCAGGCATAGATCTTAACAGTACTATAGCGGTCACCTTGACCCCCAAGATGGCTCAGCAAGCTGTTCCTACAGGAATCTGGGGAACTCTGCCACCAGGAACTTTAGGATTAATTTTAGGGTGGAGTGGAAACACTCTGAAAGGATTAACTGTTTTGCCTGGGGTCATAGATTCAGACTATGAGGGAGAGATTAAAGTAATATTAGAATGTAATCAGATTATACGCATTACTCCAGGACAACGGATTGCTCAGATACTACTTTTACCTTATGTTCAGCAAGGCGAGGCTATAAACAGGAAAAGAGGGGTGCAAGGGTTTGGAAGCTGACATCTATTGGATACAGGAAATTAGCAAAACCCATCCTATGATTAATTTAAGAATAGAAGGAAAAATGTTTAAGGGCCTAGTAGACACTGGGGCAGATGTCAGCATTCTCAGCAAAGAATTCTGGCCTCCAAGTTGGTCCGAGGTAGAAGCTATGGACTCAATTAGGAGGGTGGGAGTTCCTGATAACACACAACGTAGTGCTGCAGTCTTAAGGTGGCAAGATGAGGAAGGACAGACAGGATGGTTTCAGCCCTACATTGTCTCTGGAATTGCGGTCAATTTGCGGGGCCGAGATGTCTTAGAAGGTTTACAAGCTTGTATTATTACCATCAAAGGACAGCAGTTTATAGCTCAGATGGGCTTAAAATGTTTAAGTTTTAAAATGTTTTGGGTTATGGATTGGCATTGTTTTGTTATTGTTTTAATAGCCAGAGTTTTGTTCTTGATATTTAAGTTTTATTTTCATTATAGTAGCTAATAATAATAATAAAAAAGGGTGAGATGTGGGGTTGACTGATATAGGGTTGAGCCTCGGACTGAGCTGCTGGCAAAGTCACAAACAAGTCCCAGCTTAAAGGGCTCAGTCCTCTTAGCATAATTAGGCTTGACCTTATAACACTCCCAGATCTTACCTGGGAAGCTAATGGGCTGAGGGAAGTGCAGGGAGTGTAAACATGATCAAAACAGGTGAAACTCACAAGAACTGTAACTATGGTAAACACTGCATTGCTTACCTCAGACTATAAAGGTCGGTGCGGACTGAGCATGGGTGGAAGTCCTTCCTCTTGAGTTGGACTTACCTGCCTGGTCCCCCAATATTTCCAAATTATTTCTTGTCTTTTCTATTTCATTTGTGTGCGGCTCCTCTTCCAGATATTGAACCCTAAACCACGCGGGATGTGGAGGGAAACATTTACGACAACCCAGTGAGAAAATTTTGAAGGGAAACACTGAAAAATAGAAGCAAGAAATTTTCTAAACCATTTTGAGAAAGAAAATGCAAAAACAACAATAACAAAACAACAACCTGTCAAAGTCAGAAAAAAAAGGCAAAAAAATATGGTAGATCAAAACATAAAATTATAGTCCTGATCAGTTTGGTTCAGTGAATAGAGCATTGGTCTACAGACTGAAGGGTCCTAGACTCCATTCCGGTTAAGGGCATGTACCTTTGCTGTAGGCTGGATCCTCCAGCCCTGGGTGGGGCATGTGCGGGAAGCACTCAATCGATGTGTTTCTCTCTTATCGATGTTTCTCTCTCTGTGTCTCTCCCCCTCCCTTCCACTCTTTCTCAAAATCAATGGGAAAAACTCCAAATTCCTTATTTTACCTGCTCCGTGCGTGCTAGACTCCAGCCTCCTAAGAGGGATCACTGGAAGCCCTGCGGTGGTCTCTGCCCACTAAGGGGTCTGCTGCTTGGAAGAGGTTCTGCACGGGAGAAAAGCTGGGGTGGAGGAGTGGAGGGGTGGGGAAAGGCATTTTTGGTCCCCCCCCCCCCGAGCGTGTTACCTTTGCCTTTCCCTCTCCTAAGCTCCAAGGGTTCTTCTTCTGCCTCTGTAACTTGTTTCCTCAGTCTATGCAGCCCAGCTGGCTCACTTCTACTACCTTGTAAATAAAGTTTCTAAATAAACTTTCTCTTATAATTTGGAAAAAAAATCAATGGAAAATATCCTTGGATGAGGGTTAAAAACAAACCCCCCCCCCCCCATAAAATTATATAGCAAAAATAAATTATCCTATCTAATAAAGAGGGAATATGCTAATTGACCCCCATGCCATCACAAAGATGGCGGTGCCCACAGCCAATAAGGAGGGACTATGCTAATTGACTGCCCCACCCTCAAAGATGGCGGCACCCACAGCCACAAGATGATGGTGCCCAGTCCCCTCAGCCCCACCAGGGTGCCTGCCTCCTGAGTTTCCCAGTCCCCTCAGCCTCCCAGCCACCCAGGGCCGGCCTGAGGCACAGGCAAGCCTCAGTTGGTGGCTGCCCAGCTGCCCAGGGCTGCCTGAGGCTCTGTTAACCAGGGCTGGCTGAGGCTTGTGCTGCCAGCAGTGGCAGCAGCAGAGATGTGATGGGGGTATCGCCTTCCCCTGATCGCCAGGTCGTCTCGTGCCCCTGAGGGATCCGGGACTGTCACAGGGGGGAGGCTGGGCTGAGGGACCCCCCCCCCCCCAGTGCATTAATTTTCATGCACCAGGCCTCTAGTCCTATATAATAAAAGGCTAATATGCAAATTGACTGAATGGCAGAATGACCAGTAGCTATGATGCACACTGACCATCAAGGGGCATATGTTCAAAGCAGGAGCTGCCCCCTGGTGGTCAGTGTGCTCCCACAGGGGGAGCACTGCTCAGCCAGAAGCCAGGCTCACGGCTGGCAAGCACAGCAGTGGTGGCGGGAGCCTCTCTTGCCTCTGCGGCAGCACTAAGGACCCCTCAGCGAACATCCCCCGAGGGGTCCCAGACTGTGAGAAGGCACAGGCCGGGCTGTGGGACCCCCACCCCAGTGCATGAATGTCATGCACCAGGCCTCTAGTAGTATTAATAATATAATAAATGTGAATAGTAAATAGGTTTAATTCTAATAAACGGACAGAAAATCTTAGGTTGGGTAAAAAAAAAATCCAGATAGAAGCGGTTTATAAGCCATGGTCATATATTTAAAACAAAACAACCGCCCTAACCAGTTTGGCTCAGTGGATAGAGCACCGGCCTGAGGATTGAAGGGTCCCAGGTTCGATTCTGGTCAAGGGCATGTACCTTGGTTGCGGGCACATCCCCAGTAGGAGGTGTGCAGGAGGCAGCTGATCAATGTTTCTCTCCCATTGATGTTTCTAACTCTCTATCCCTCTCCCTTCTTCTCTGTAAAAAAAATCAATAAAATATATTTAAAAACAAAAAACAAACAAACAAAAAAAACCCCAAAACAACACCAAATCTCTATATATATGTATACAAGCCTAAGCAATCGTTATGACCGGTCAACCAGTCACTATGATGCCCAGTGACCACTTATTCCTTCTGGTCAGGACTCATTTCACAATAATAAAAATGAGGAAGTTAGGAAGGCTGAAAGAAGCGGAAAGGGAGGAGACATACACTGGAGGAGGAGAGCAAAGCTGGCTTGATAGCTAACACCCCAAACACGCAGTCTCAACCTGTGATCTGATTCTTATTTACTACCCAAAGTCAAGGAAATGAGAGATCCCAGAGTATAGACTCCTGGGCTTTCAGACAGAGACCAGCAGGACGCCAGTCATTTATTCGACTCCTCCACCAGGCACCTCTACCCCACTCTCCAGGATTTTATTTTATTCAACTCTACTCACTGCTGCACAGCAAGCCCAAGAATAACAACCTTCAGACTTTGCACAGGTAACTGGGCTGGGGATGCAGGTGAGACCAAGGGGACAGGGAGGGAGTTAGAGAAAGCAGGGAGAGGGGCTGTGGGTCTCAACTGGGACTGAATAGAAAGAGATATAAAAGGGCAGCTTGGAGATTTAGTGGCCAAGTGGAAATTTTAGACTCTATTCACTTAACTGGATTCAGGTTGAAATATGACAGCCAAACCTCCGTCACAAACTGAGACTCACTCAGCCCCATCTCCAGCCCCATCTTTAGCCCCAGCCTAGCCTCAGTCCTAACCTCATTAGAAACACCATCTTCTCCTTTAACCCCCAAACATAGCTTCAACCCCAAAGTCAACATGAATCTTAACACAAGCCCCAAATTGACTCTCTTCTGTTTCCAGCTTCAGGTTCAAGCTGAAGTATTAACCAAGATCAAAGGAGATGCAAACTCAATTGCATCCCCAATGTTAGATCCAATCCTAGTCACATATTTAGCTCCAACTTTACCTTCACCTTCATTGCCACACTCAATCTGACCCCAGCCCCAAAACCAATCCTGACCCCACTTCCAACCTCTGCTGCAAACGTAGGCCCATTCCCATTCTCTCCCGAACCCTTGGCTCATCCTCAACCTGAACTTCTCTTACCTCAACATCATCCCTGACTTCAGCTCCAACCTCCTCCAGCCTCTAACTCCGTGGTCGGCAAACTGCGGCTTGCGAGCCACATGTGGCTCTTTGGCCCCCTGAGTGTGGCTCTTCCTAAGACTTAGGAGTACCCTAATTAAGTTAATAACAATGTGCCTACCTATATAGTTTTAAAAATTTGGCTCTCAAAAGTAATTTCAATCATTGTACTGTTGATATTTGGCTCTGTTGACTATTGAGTTTGCCGACCACTGGCTTAACTCCATCCCTAGCCTGGCCTCTGGCCCTGCCTCCATTTCAGAGTTGGTCCAAGGATGTCAATGAAGTATGAAGACCTCCAGTCCTTGGAGAGTGAGAAGAAAAGCCAGGGTTCTAGAAATGGTAAGAGGAAAGGAGAAATGGTGTCTTCTAAAATACTTCATTAATATGTTTAGAAGGATATCTGTTGTCATGGTATATCTGCACCTCTACCATGTCCACTGCTGGGCTCTCCCACTCTGAGGGGGCTCCCATATGAAGAGGATTCACAATCCTCTGAAGGACAGGATCAGGGTGGACCAAAGCGGTCCTGGCTGCTATACTCTGGGAAAGGTCATGAGCATTTCCACTGGGAGAGTGAACAGTCATGTTTGGAAGAAAAACGGTGGCGAACCTGACAATACAGATAAGCACGAGCCTGCTGAGGGCCTGGCTGCCCGGCTCACTCTGTGTCCTCCTGCCCCTGTCCCAGCCCTGATGATAAGACCTTACATATCGTCATCATGTGTTTCCGGGGGAGAGGAGGTTTGTGTGACTGAGAACTTGTGCTGGTCCATGAGGGGTGAGATGCCTGGGCATCCCCTGCACCACAACCTCTCCCCAGCTTTCCCTGCACCACTCTTCATCCCTGACAGGTCCCTGTGGCCCTCTGCTCCTCCCCTGTGTCTCTCCTGTCCTCAACCTCCATGTCCTGATGTCCTCTCTTCTTGCAGGGCTGCCTCCTCCCCCAGCCTTCCTGCAGCATGTCTGCTCTGGCCCCTGGCCCCTTCTGCTCTCTCTGGGCCTCATCCTTCTCCTGATGATTGGTATCTGCGTGATTGGATCCAAAAGTGAGTGTCCCAGGATGGGCAGGGAAGGGGGCGCCAGTGGGGTACAGGAACCCAGGCACTGATGATGCTCATGGTGGGTAAAGATAGCTGCTGGCTCTGTTGCTTACTCATGGGTAATGTAGTCCAAGTGCCTAACCTCTGGAAGCCTGAGTTTCCTCTCTGCAAGCTTGGATAACAACAGTGCCTGTCCCTTAAAGTGGGGTGGCTGTGAGGACCCACTGA